TATGATCGTTGCTTGTTACTTGCTCTATTTAATCTTGGTAGGTTGCATTGTTTTGTGCTCTTGATTTAGCTTATGTGGATGTTTGTGGCTCACTCTTTAGGTGGAGAAAGTGTTGTTGGAGAATTTGAGAAGCGGGTTTTGAAAGTTTTAACTTTGTTCAATAAGTTCTTCAGAGAAGAAGGTCCCACTAGACTTAAGTTGAAGACTCTTAAGCCATAAAGGTTGTGAGTCTTCATGGGAATGGAAATGTTAGTACTAAGCATGTATATGGATTAAAATTTTAGTTCTTGTTGAGTTGAATATTCTTCATTGGGAAGGGAATGCTTTCTTGTTTATGTTGGTACAATGATATGCATAACTTCAAGCATAATGTTTGCTTTTACTTTTTGTTCACTCCAAATCTCATTCATGTTTATGAAAATTAGTCTAAAGGAATTCCTGATAAGTGAGCATCACTACCCCTATGACTATCATTTGGAACTAAATAACAACACTGACGTCTATGATGTGGAAATTGTTCAATGGTAGAGGCTGGTGTTGATCTGTAGATAAGAAACACAGGGAAAGAGAGAGGGAGAAGAGGGTGAGAGAAGAAATCCAATTAGCATGTCACGTCATTTTTTCTTCTAGTCAAAACCCATTTACCCAATATTTAATGATATGGAAAATTTCTTCCTTTTTTAAAAGTTTCAAGCAACATTTTTTAAAAAAAAAAGTTTAAGATACTAAACACTTTTTAAAAAAAAAATTTCATTTTGCCCTTTTACCCTTTTAAATATGATATTTTAAATTTTAAATTTAAATCTAAATCTACAAATTGAAATGCTACCAAAAAACCTTGCAATTTTAAACGAGTGCCACGTAACAATGAAAAGAGACAAATGAAAAAATATATTAAACACATAATGATGGAGTTGCTTTATCGATGACATGAAAATAATGCTATTTATTATACATTTATTTTATGCTAGACATGTTTTTATGCGTACTGCACGAAATTTAAATAGTGAGTTGCATATTTTATGATTTGTGAATATTATTTATCTATATAGATTCCTATATGTATGAAATTATATTTCAAAAACAAATAAGAAAAATATTTTTCACCAGATATCTGTATCTAAAAGTTTAAAACACATCTCAAAACAAAATAGTACCCGCTCACCCCTCCCTCTTAACTTACATTGGCTTAATCTTCTGGCCCAAATTAATTGGGCCTAGTTTTGCTCCTCTTGAAACACATCTCAAGCGGACCCAGAAAAACCTTTGAGAAGACAGTGCCAATAAAAAACAAAAAAAAACAGAAAAACCCTAGAACACAGGGCTCCTATAAAGTTTTAAACTTATACAAGGCTCAAAGTACGAACTGGGCGGCAAGGGGAATTCGCTGTAAGTCTCTCTACTCTCTGACACCTGCTCACCCTGTCTCAATTGTTGAACTTTTTGGATATTAACTTTGATTGTGAATTTTTCAAAGTTTCAGAGTAATGGGTTTGCGTTAGAAAATTTCCAGTTGTTTATGTCGACTAGTGCAAGTTCTAAAGCATCTTTTTTTTTTTTTTTTTTTTTTTTAGTGCCTTTTTGAAGAACCAGGGAAGCAAAAATGGCCGTGCCATTGCTTTCAAGAAGATCGTGAAGAAGCGGGTCAAGAAGTTCAAGAGGCCGCAGAGCGACCGCAAGATCTCTGTGAAGGTATCTAACCGAACGACATTTGTATAAATATGTAATTTTTTTAATGTCCTGATTTGCTGTCTGATTTGACGATCTATTGAGCTAGGTGTTGGTTGTTATTCTGTTCTCAATTCAAACCTGCGGGTTTAATACCGGTTCAATGTGAACTAATGGATTACTTTGGGGTCTGCTGTTTCATTGCGCCTTGCCAGTTATTGCAAATTGGTTGTTTCTTTTTGGCTAGAGTGCATTATAACGAGCCTAACTTCGAATGCAATTCCAACACTCTTGAACCTTTAACTTAATGACCCAGTTACATTCTTTACAATTGTGATTCTGCGTAGAGGAGGACTCAATTGAGCTCGGATAGGATATTATGACAGTTTTTGTCGCCCCAGTCTTAATTTGCACCATTTGGTGCAAGATGGTGACTGACATTGTATCTGATCCTAGTATGTTGTAGTTCAGTGCATTTCAAGGTCATTGCTAATGTTTCTTTCACATCGAAACATAAAAAATGTGCTCGTCTGTATTCTTCTACCTGCTTTCCTTTCGTTTTATTGTTGCACCTAACACTAGTTAAATCACTTCAGGTGAAGCGATCTTTGCTCTTTAGCCTATTTACAAGTTTCTGACAATAATTCACTACGGCTTCATTTTATCCTTTGATTGTAATGTTGTAAATGGTAATCATATGTCTTTTCTCGTGTCAGAACACGTCTATCATGGCCCCCCCCAAAATATGGTGATTCAGTAAATGAGAGATGATGATGTTTATCCATCAATTCTGCAGTCGAATGATGATTTTTAACATGCACTACCATCTGACCTCTGTTGTATATTTGGATAGCTTTGTGTGTATTGACTATTTTATCACCAAATGTTCATTTATTGTTTCATGATGTTCTTTAACTGTACTAATGAATTTATACCGGTGCTTCTGCTGCTGGTGATGTAAAGCATTTAATTATTATGACTGATATCTGATTATTACACAAAATATCACCATCTTTCGGCTGAAGTTGCATATTAGAGTTTCTGCTTGCGTTTTGCCTTTGATAAATGTTAGTTGAAGTCATAGTTATTTGAAGTTCCATGACAATGAGGCATCTTTTTGCTTTTGTTAGGCATCCCTAATTGGTTTTTCTAAACTTTTCTGCAGTCAATTATGAGAATTTTGTATGGCGTGTCATATTGTTCATATTATTTCTTTTGATGTGGCGTGTATGTAATCATGTTTTGGGTTCTATCATGTATATTTGCCCGTGGTATCTGATGTCCAGATTTTGTTTCTGTAGCTGGGGCATTTCGTTTGAAGGGCATATAGAAATTTTATACAGGTCTTGCGACACAGTTGGCTTGCTTTTTATATAGGCCTTCTGTTACTATTTCCCTGTTGACATCTTAAATCCATTCATACCAGGTTTGGTGCATCTTCTCCCTGAAAAAGATGTTTCCTCCATCCAGGTCCTGTTATAATTTAGAATGTTTTATGTTTAAAGAATGTCAAGAACCAACAGAATTTGCTTTGCTGCACTTACTAATGGTGCGACTTTAGGAGTACATGCAGCTTTAGGAAAGCCTTTGCCAATATTCTAAAGTTGTGACTTAACCTTGTAATGATTGCTTTGTTTGTTGTAACTAATTATGTTCTTGCGTGTTTACTGCAGGAAAACTGGCGCAGGCCAAAGGGTATTGATTCCCGTGTCAGGAGGAAGTTCAAGGGATGCACTTTAATGCCAAATATTGGCTATGGATCAGACAAGAAGACTAGACACTATCTCCCAAATGGTTTCAAGAAATTTGTTGTGAACAATGTCAAAGAGCTAGAACTTCTCATGATGCATAATAGGTGAACTGATTCGTCCCAATTTTGTTGATTCTCTGTTCCAGACTGTATTGCATGGCATCAGAACTTTCGCTGATGTTCCGATTATCTGTTATTTCAGGACATACTGTGCTGAGATTGCTCACAATGTTTCCACAAGGAAGAGAAAGGAGATAGTTGAGAGAGCTGCCCAGCTTGATGTTGTTGTTACCACCAAAACAGCCAGACTACGCAGTCAGGAGGATGAATAATCTGGATGACTCTGAAGTCACTTGTGATTTGTAGCAAGTTTTTTGGTTGACATAAATGTCGTGGTGATAGATTTTTGTCATAATTTTATTTTTGCTGAAATTCGTAGCATGTTTTACATTAAGATATTTGGCTTGTTTAATGGCCGTTTTACTAGTTTTAGTCTATTGATTCGGATCCCAAGTATTTTTCAGCTTTCAACGGTCAGGTTTTTGCACTTCCAATGCTTCATGAAAATGTTTTTTTCGAAATATAAGCTGGAGCCTGGATGTCATAAAAACACATTCGGATATAACCCTACTCTTCTGCCTTTATTAGGCCTGTACAATTTTGGGTCTCATCCTACTTTATGCTGGATTTTTACTTTTATAAAACTAAAGCAGTGCATGTGAATTTTTACTTTATACAACTGGATCAAGTGACGTTTCTGCAAAAAGACGTCTTTTCTTTCCCTGGTTAAAAATGGCAACTTTTTGACATTTGCTTTTGGTAGAATATGAATATCTGAAATATGAACTCTTGCATCTAGAAAATGATTCAGAATGCTCAAAAATTAGACGGGCAAAGATGAGTGAGGGGAAAACTCATGATAAATACTTAAAGCTGAGTTTGATTCATAAATTTTAGTCTAGTTTAACATATATATACCAGCATCATATAAACATAAAATAGTGCCATCATATAGACATAAAATAGTGCAAACTTTGGAAGACGAACTGGGACCACAGTGGCGGAGTTACATCACTTGAGGGGGCATATGCACCCCTTTAACTTGGAGGAAATTATAAATGAAAAGTAGATATTTTACTATTTAAATTGAGGCCTTTTTTTTGTGTGAATGTTTTAACTTAAGTCTAATTATGAATTCACTAAATTCAAAACTCTAATGTAATTTTTAGAAAGAATATTCTTATTTATTTAATTTTTTTAAATATCTAGTTACTTATATATATAAATAATATCATAAATTAGTGACTTATATGACTTATCTAATGTAATTTTAGAAAGGAAATATTTTTAATAGCATTTGACAATGAGCAAGGGACAATTATAAAATGTATGATTATTTTAAAAAATATTAAATAATTATTTTTAAATTATTATTTTTAAAATTAATTTGCACCCCTAATAGAGTCCTGGCGCCACTGACCACAGTGGAAGAGTTCACAAGGGGCAAAGAATATGACTTGCCTCGAAGAAGGAACATGTAGGAAACTGAACAAGGTACTATACATAAAACAAACTCAAGAAAAAGGGAGGCAAGGAAGAATCTGGCATATTTCGTCCTGCCTTGAAAGTGAAGCACGAACATTCATCTTCTTTACAACCCTGCATAATCTTTTGAACTAGCAGCCTTGGCAAGAAAAGAACCCGAGTTTCCACCCAATTATCCTATGCATATATTTATATATACATAAAGGACTCTCCCTTGCACCATCCTCGATCAGAAGGAACTTTCTGAAACCTCCTTCCTCCTCCTTGATCAGAGAACTTTCTGCTTTTGAAAATCCACACAGTACAGAGATGGCCAACGAAGAAATGAAACCCATTGCCACATTGCTTCTGCTCCTCAACTTCTGCATGTACGTGGTCGTTTTGGGAATTGGTGGATGGGCCATGAACAGAGCAATAGATCATGGCTTCATCATAGGTATCAATTATGTTTCTCAGACACAATCCAGAGAGTTTCATGACAAGATAAATAGAAGTTCCTGTTGTTTCTATCTTCGCATCTGGCTTATGTTGTACTACTGTTGAGAACTGCAGGTCAAGGATTTGAACTTCCAGCTCATTTTTCGCCCATATATTTCCCCATGGGGAATGCAGCCACTGGATTCTTTGTGATGTTTTCTTTGATTGCTGGAGTTGTTGGAGCTGCTTCTGCAATTGTTGGATTCAATCATGTCCGTTCATGGACTCCTGAGAGCTTGCCATCTGCAGCTTCTGTTGCTGCCGTTGCTTGGACTCTCACCCTTCTTGCCATGGGGTAATAATAATAATCCATCCACCATTATTTGCCTGAATTCAAAAGTTTTTCGTTTTTTCTTTTGGGTATGATCATTACTGTATTGATCTGACAAGCAAACGATTTGTGCAGCTTCGCCTGCAAAGAGATTGAGCTTTATATCAGAAATGTCCGCCTGGTAAGACAAGAACAGATAATTTCTGTGTTTTTTTTTTTTTTTATTCCCAGAAACTGTATGGTAAGTGTTGAGTTGAGATTTGGAATGTTGAATTTTGCAGAGAACAATGGAGGCGTTCTTGATTATACTGTCAGCTACGCAGCTTTTCTACATAGCAGCTATTCATGGCGCCAGGAGATGAAGCGAGAGAGAGATGTTGAGGAAGATGACTCTGATCAGATGGGGCTTGTGTGATTTGTTGTGTTTCGTTATGTTCTGATTTTCGGGTTTCATTTCTGCTGTGATTTTTTTTATTTTTTTTTTCATCAGTCTTTTATTTTCTGAAACATGCTTGCAGAGTTGGCAGATTGTGTGTAATTTTCGTGATTGGATTTGTATAAATCAATATTATTTATATTACTTATTCCAAATTAAAGAAATGTGTCCCAAAGGCAATAGGCCATTATTATTGGGATAAATGATTGTCTCAGCTTAACAAGTAGTCTTGAATTCAAATTTTGAAAATATTCTAGCATTAAAACTCTATGGTGGAACCCGCTACTTGAAAAAGTCTATCAACAATACTCAAATCCATGTTAGTATGAGTCCGTGTTAAATTCTTTCAATTGGACAAGAAGTGAGTTTATAGCGCAAGCAAGAGAAATGTGTCCCCCTGTAGATTCTTTTTTTTTAAAAAAAAAAGATTTTTAAACAAATTTTATTTTTTGGACAATAAAAACTTTCTCCTTTCACCACAACAATTGTACATGAATTCAAATTGCTTTGACTAATTGAAGAAATCAAGTAGAGAACCGAGAGAAAAAGAATTTTTTTTTTCTTAAAAAAAAAACAATTGCCGGACAGCATTTTTTTACCAATGAGAAAAAAAAATTGTAAATGCTAAGAAATCGGGCTTTGGGCCACAATTTTAAAAATAAAACAAACTAATAAGATTGAATTCCAAAGAATTAAAATTTAAAAATAAATCAATAATTAAAAGAAAAATTAAGAATTAAGGGCCCGTTTGGTATGAAAAATTTTAGTAATATGAAAATGAAATTGTATATAAAATTCAAATTTGTCTCATTTGGTATGTCAGATTTTTAATTCCATGTGGAATCCAATTCCACCAAAACACCCTCGACTTCCTCACCATAAGTCATCAGTGACCTTACCAGTGACCCTCTCTGATTCCATTTTCTTCCCTTCTTCCCTTCTTCCAAACCTGGTACCCATTATTGTCTCATCGCTCCCATCACCAATCAAGACCTCCATCAATGGGAGAGGGAGTGTTTAAGCTTCAAAATAATGAAATCACCATCAACAGCCAACTGTACATAGCCTTTATCTTTGTGGCAACCTCTAACCTCTATCATCATCACCGATGGCAAGATCAACGAATCCTTAAAGGCACAGGTACTGGTTCGATCTTCTCTCTCCCCTCCATCTCCTAGATTTACAATCTTTTATCTTCTTCTTTTTTTTTTTTTTGTAAATTGATTGTTGGGTTGTGAGCTATGTATCCTTTTATTTCTTGTTCAGATTTGATTTCATTTCTTCTTTATGGTGCATTTGGAGTTTGGATGATTTCATTTCTTCTACATGACCAAAACCTTCAAAATTGGGTTTTGGGTTTTGTGTGATTTCACCTAGTCTTTTTTTTTTCTTATTTAGATTTTATTTCATTCCTTCACAAACTTGAAGCATTGATTTTTGATTTCTTGCAATTTTTAAAAGGTTGATTGTTGTTTTGATAATAGAAAGATGGCAACAGCTTTTATTTGTCCCACTTCAATGTTGCTGGCCAAGTTTCAATTATTTTGGTAGGACATTTTAGTCTTTGTATATTTTAGATATCAATATTAAATAAAAATAATTTCTCAATTCCATCACCATACCAAACATATTTCAAAATTATATATCCATTTTTATTTCCATCAAAATCATTTTTAATATATCAACGAGGCATAAGAGTTATCCTTTTTCATATTAAAACAAAACAAAAAAGTGAGATGGAGTTATTCTATTATACAACAAATTTAAAATTGTTTGGTTTAACTAAAATTTTGAATGGCACATGTATATGATAATTGATTCAAGAAACCGGGTTATTTTGTTATTAAAAAAACAAAACAAACTGGGTCATTTTACTTTATCGCCCAAAAAAATTTGGGTTTGAGTATAAAAGCTCGTTTTCTGTTGGGCCACAACCCAACCCCGAGTTCACCTACTCCAGAGCCCAGATGGCTATACATCCCTCAAGGGTGGTCCATAATTTTAGGAAAATCAAATTTAAGACTTTAAACTAAAATAAATATTCAATTTGCATACTCCCTCCTTTCTATAAAGCCCCTTTACTATTTTTATGAGATTAAAATAATTAGATAAATATAAATTTTTTACAACTTTTCAAATTAGTTTACTACTTTTATTGGATTAAAATAATTAGTTAAATATAATTTTTTTTACAACTTTTCAAAGTTAGTTAATTGAGAGGAGAGAGATAGAAATTATTGACAAATGATGTTGGAGAAGATTAGTAGAATAACTTCACATTTTAATTTAAAATCTCAAAACTCAACTTCCAATTAGGGCTAGCTTAGCTTTTGGGTTTCAAATGGTGTGATGCATATAAGTTCCTACTATAATTAAGGCTAATCTTATTTTGAATTTCAAACATATGAGTAATAATGGGCTTACAACTCTTAGGCAAAAACCAGATTTTGATACCACTTTATTAGAAATAGGGAGGGAACGCTTGGAAATGGGGTGGAGAAGAAATGGACATGATTAAAAGAAGGATAAGATATCTTAATTCAAAATTGTAAGGCTCAAGTTTATGGGTATTTCTCCTTTAGTTTATATTAATTATTAAACCTAATTTTATTTGATGCGGAACTTCCTATATCGGTTCAAGTTTACTCATAATTAGATAGCCTAATAATTTTCCCCTAAAAAGTGAGTCAATAAGCTCCTAATATCAAAAATACCTTACAAACACCAAGTCTCTGCACTAGCAATCAGAATCATCTAGTTTTTAGGCTTTTAAATAGTGTTATACACACAAATCCCTATTGCATTTATGGCCACTCCCATTTTGGATTTCAAACATGTGCATAATAACAAATTTTCATGTCCTGAGCGAAACTAGACTCTAATATTATTTGTTCTAAATGAAGAGCAATTACCCATTAAAGATAAGAGAGGAAATATTGATAAGATTAGTTGAAGGGTACTATATTATAACCCAAAATTTTAAGGCTTGAGTTTAGGAATTCTTTCACTAATCTTGCTTGTTTCTTCTCTCCTTCTATTATTGGATGGTCACTCCTCGATTCATTCCTAACTCTAGTAAATTAGTGTCACCTAATCCTTGCCCATATTTTCTCAATAATTTAATAAAACTTTCGCTTTGATCCGCACTAATGCATCTACAAAAACTGGCAAAAATAGGCCCAACGGCCATGCCACATCAATGTTGCTTACTGTGGCCTATCACCACACCTGGTAAATATATATTTCATTCTTTTAGGGGAGACAAAAAATTAAATATTTAAAAGTTTTTTTTACATTTATCTTTTTTAAAAAAATTGTACATTTTTATTATTATTAGCATTAAAGTACATTTCTTTTTACATTTTTTTGAGGAGTGTTGAGCATTTTATACTAATAAATGAAGCCTTTTTTCTTCTAAAACATTTTTCAAAAGAGTAAAATTCCACCTCTCTTAGTAATCTATTAACTGAGGGGATCTTTGGTCATTTGGAAAATAGTTTATAGAAAAAATCCCTCTCTTATTAGGATAGAATACTCAATGTTCTTTGAAGGAAAGTATGTGAACAAAAAACAATTTAACTCTCATATGAAAATACCAATTAAGAATAGGAAAAATGATAAAAAAATTCTTTTGAAATATGTAAATGATAATTTAATCCCTCGAAATGCTATAATACCAATGAAGTCTTTAAAAACTTTTCTGTCATCAAGAAATTAATATAAATGATCAAATTACCCTTAGTTCAAATATCAATTATCATTTATAAGTTTTATTTCAAGATTCACAACTTTTTTCTTAAAATCACAAGAATGCAATAGCAATTCGTAAGTTCATATTTGAAATCTTAAACTAAGGGTAATTTAGTCATTTATATTAATTTTTTAATGATATAAAAGTTCCTACGGACTTCATTGATATTATGATATTTCGAGACTAAATTATCATTTATATAATTCGAAGGGATTTTATTGCCATTTTTCATTAAAAATAAGTGACACTTTAGCTCTAAATATCCATTAATTTAATTGTTAGTTGACCAAAATAATTTTAAAAAATACCTAAAAAATTTAAGAGACTTGATCAATATTAAATTTTTTAAAATATTATTTTCTTAATAAATATTAAACATTTTAACAATTTTTATTATAATAATAATATTTTTAAATAAATTATAGAAAATGACTTAATGAGAAAAGTAACAATGATTAAGTCATTTTAATATTTTAGGTTATTATTTATAATTTTTTAATCAATTAATGATTTTCTTTTAAAATATTGAATCACTCAAATTTAATATATATTTTATAATTTTGTATTAAAAAAAGAAGGAATGGACCTCGTAACTTGTTTTTTTAAATTTAAAATTGAAAACATATTACATTATATAATTCATTAAAGTGCATTTTGCGCTTGTGCTTTTTTTTAGAAGGAGTAGGCACTTTGCATTAATAAATAGAGTATTTTTTTTAAATTATTTTTTAAAGGATCAAAAATTTTTCTCTACTAATGAATCAAGAGAAATTTTTTATATTTTTAAAAAATAATTTTTAAAAAAATATTTTATTTATTAGTATAAAATGTCTCGCATTCCTGACAAGGGAAAAAAAAACTTGAGGAAAAATGCATTTTAAATTTTAACCCTTATCATATCACATATTTCGTCTTTGTTCACATGATGCACAATTCTCGAAGGGAGAACGATGATGGGGAGTGACGACGAAAGATGATGGGAAAGAAGAATGGGAGGGGTATATAGGTAATTATGAGGCCTCCTCCTCTTGTGCCTTGCCTGATAGCGTTCACCTGCTACTCCCCATCTTCAATTATGTTGGTGACTTGTAAGACTGCATCACTGGCAATTCGGCCCATTTGCTATTCAATTTTGGTCAACATTTCTCTCTCTTGTAAACATTAAAAACATGGCCCACTAGTCTCAAAATTTATGTGGCCCCAACCATCCCACGTACCAATGCAGTGAATGGTTGGATGATCAAATTAATTAATTCTTTTTCCCAAGCTTTAGCCAGCCTAGTTGATGGAAATTTTTTTTAAAATTTAAAATTATAATTTTGTAAAAATATATTTAAACACCTCTCTTATATATTAAAAATAATTATGAACTTTAAATTATAATTTTTTAAAAAATATTTCAATACTTATTAT